GGTTGATGTATGGTTTGGGAAGGATGGAGCTCCTCATGAACTCTCCATGCAACCCTACTGATGTCCTCTTCTCTGTCCCATCTTCCCCGGAAGGAACAAGGCCACCTTTCTCTTGGTTTACCCACCAGAAGGAAGCAGAACCAGCCTGGACCTTGGCTGATGTGGGTAAAACCCGTGAGCAGAAAGCCAGCTGGTTCCTCAAGTCCAATCATTGACCCGTCCGACCACAGCCCACTCATAGAGATCATAGAATCACTGAGGTTGGAAAAGGCCTCCAAGATCCCCAAGCCCAGCCCAAACCCACTCCCATTGACCATGTCCTTCAGTGCCATATCTCCACGGTTCTGGAACATCTCCAGGGATGATGATTCCACCACCTCCCTCGGCAGCATGTTCCATTGCATTATCAGAAATGCAAAATGAGTTTGCAGCCCAACTGTCCCATGACAGGGCTGCAAACCCCTGAAGGAGCTGTAAGGAAGATGGTCTGACTGTAAAGAAAGGGCGCAAAGGTGTGGAGATGTTCTGGGATAAGAACATTCTGCTCTGTGCAGCAGGAGATGGCACATGGGGAAGGTCCCCCCACCCCCTGACCTCAAATAATGGCGGGGTCTGTGTCCACATGGTTGAGGCTGCAGAGCAGGGGGGTAGTGGGACCCATGAGGTGACCCCTGCAGACACCAAAGCACAAATCCCCTGCAGAAATCCCGACCCTAAAACCGACCCCATCTCCAGGATCTGGAGGGAACGGCCTGACTCCTGCACAGTGACGTGAGGAGGAGGAGAAGGAGGGGGAGAAGGAGGGGATGTGAGGTGCAAGCTGTGAAGCAACAGCTGCTGATCCAATTAAAAGAGCTAATCCCCAACAGTGCCCCTGCAGGGAAAACAGCCTCAGAGAGGACCCTGCAGGAAGGCACGGTCATTAGGGCACAGTCCTGGGGTGCCAGGTCTGATGTGTCACTGACACTGTTGCAGAACACCCACCACAGCAGTCAACCCCACCCGAAGTCCCCCTCCATCACATCTCCAGGCAGTGCTGTGTGCAGAGGTTGACACCAACCCTCATGGTTCTGCATGCATCCCCAGTGCTCCTCGGGGATGTTTCGTGAGGGAGAAATGTGGGGAAATCAAAGATGGAGGGTCCAAAAGGTTGTGAGTGGAGAAAGATGGGGGGGGAGGAATCAATGAATGGGAAAGGGTGAGTGGAGAAGGGTAGGTAGGGAAGGGAAGATGTACAGGGAAGGATGGATGGATGCGTGGATGCGTGGATGCGTGGATGCGTGGATGGATGGATGGATGGATGGATGGAAGGAAGGAAGGAAGGAAGGAAGGAAGGAAGGAAGGAAGGAAGGAAGGAAGGAAGGAAGGAAGGAAGGAAGGAAGGAGAAGGGTAGATGGACTGAGGATGAATGGAGAAGGGTGAGTGGAGGAGGGTAGATGGATTGAAGAAGGATGAATGAATGCACAGATGGATGGGCGGATGGAGAAGGATAGAAGGATGGGGAAGGATGGATGGACTGAGAGTAGATAGATACAGAAGGGTAGATGGGTGCAGAGAGGTGGATGCAGAAACGTGAGGAACCCACCTAAGAAGCCCATGGGCACTGTCATCTGGAGGGAGAGCTGAGCCTACCCCTAGCCCCTCTTGTCCAGCAAATGGGTAAGAGGCCCTTCTGCCTCATGGAGGAAGCAGAGGGGATGTTTGGGGTTCTCCTCGGGTGCAGAGAAGCTGTTCTACACCAGATGTGGCTGCATCCCTCAGATCCCACTGCTCCAGCACCATTCCTCCAACCAAACCACTCAAAAAGAATCAGTGAGGCCCTGGCCAGGCTGTGAGGAGCCAGGAGCTGAGATTGGGGCTTGGCAAGTTGTGGACTCCTCCAGCTCCACCCTTCACCCTTCAGTCCATGCTGCTGCAATGAGTGAGGGGAACAGCAGCCAACACAGAAATGTTTTATTGTTCAGTATAAAATTTATGGGGTGTCTTTTATGACAGCGTCCCAACGCTGGGCTGCAGTGAAGGGATAACTAAAAGTCTAACTCACAACAACAGAGTGGACAGTGGCATGAAGCCTGACGGCAGGGGAACAGCTGACAGAGAAAAGATGGGATGCCACTGGTAGGCAGACAGGGGCAGGGGATGCAATGGGGGATAAGGAAAATTCTGGGAGGATGGGAAAATCACAGCATGCAAATGGCATCCCTGAGGAATTCCAGGTCTTCCTTTAGTGGTGGGTACACATGGCACCATGCCTAGGACTAAGTGCAAGCACAGTGGCAAGGGCAGAGTGCACTCAGTCCATCCTGGAGCCATTGCAAAAGTGCATTGGCCTATACAATGTCAGCTGAGCTTCTATACAAGGGACCAAGTGGCAGCAGCATTTCTTGGAGGGAACTGCCTCAGGATGGAGATGTTTCTCCACCACCATCCCCAGTCTGCATTGTCACCATTCCCATCATCTCCATCATCTGCACCCCCACCATCCCCACCTCATCATCCATCCCTATCTCCAACTCCATCTTGCATCTCCATGAAACCTCTCTCCAAAGACATTCCTTGCTGAACATCGCTGTCAGTCTCTAAATCTACCTGCCCAAGGCAGAGCTCAGCAGGGATTCAGGGTGCATTGGCTAGGATGAAGTCCATCACACCATACTCCAGGCAGAAATTAGGGATGGAAAAGAAATGGTCCCAGGCAGGTTCCTGTGTCACTGCTCCTCACAGGTGACATTTCTGCTGGCCATGGAGCAGCTGGTCCCAATCTCCATCTGTTACCCACCTGGGAACAGTGGAAGGGATTCTGTAGCTGATTTCCAACCCAGAGGTGGGCTCAGAAACCACCATGAGGCTCAGCACCATAGAGATATCCATAGGAAACCTCATCTGAGCAGCACAGCGCAGGGTTTGTGTGGTGTCTCCCAGGAATGAACTCATTCCAAGGAACCCAGCTGAGCATCCTCATTTCCAGTGCCCACTTCTTCCAGTAAATGAGCATAAATTGGCACTCAACTCACTTTAATGAGAAGCACACAAGTGTGAGTTAATGAGAGTGATGAGTGAGGGGTCAGGCTGTGCTGGGGCAGGCAGCATCCTCCTTTGGCAGTGCTGAGTGGGACAGTGCCTTCACCCCAGGGATGTAGCTGAGAGCATCAGATGGGCCCCATCGCTTGGGTGATGTCACTCCACTGGTCCTTGGATGCTCCACAGCAGCTGCTTTGCTACCTGCCTGCTGCCCCAGTGCTGCTCCTCCATCCTTGGGATGAGCACAGATTTCTGTCCACTTCCCAACCCCATGGCAGCAACTCCTGGTCTTCGGGAGCACAGCAAAGAGCAAGCAGGACAGCACTGATGCCCCAAGGTGGGAGCTGCTCACACTGGGCCTTTTACAGCCCAGTCACCTCTCCAAGAGCAGCACATGCACTCACTTTGCAGCTTTCTTAGGCAGCAGTCCAGCATGCCAGAACCTCCCATTTCCTGGCCTGAATTTGCCCCCAGCCTTCATTTGATCCCTGCTGCCAGCCCTGGGCTTGGTTTTCAGCCCCAAATCACCTGCAGCCCATCTGGAATCAGGCTTAGGGCTGCTCTAGGGCAGGGGGATGCCCTGGAGGTGGACAAGGCTCTGTAAATCCCTGTTGGGTAAGGGGTCTGCAAAGATGCTCCCCGAATCCACGTGGCCAAAGCATCATCCCCAAACCCTGCTATGACCCAGTGAGAGGGGAACCACCCCACAAAAGATTTGGGGTACCCTCTGCACCCCTCTTGCCAAAACGGATGCGGAAAGGAGAGCTGGCACTGGAGGGTGAATCAAAAAGGCGCTTTAATCAGATGGATCCGACAGATCCGGATCTCCAAATAAATAGATTTATCAAAACAGAATAAAACAGGAAACTGGGGATAAATACATGTACCCAAACGACCTGAAAATCCCCCAAAGCTATTTCCAGTCTGGGGGAGAGAGGTGCTGCTGCACTCCCTCCTCTCCGTGCTGCAGGAATGGCCCTGTTTGCCCTTTGGGAGATGCTCCTCCTGTGAATACAGCCCAGAAGAGAGTATGTAGGATATAGATAAATATAGAGCATAATGACACGCTTCGTTAGTGCAGTGTTTGGAGTCTCAGAGCCAGCGAGCGGCGAGTGCCGGAGGTTACATTCTTGCAGGGGGGGCAGGGGGACAAAAAGAGGTGGTACCAGCGATCGAGTGGCACCTCCTCCACCCCCCACACCATGAGAAGCAGTTTTGGTGCTGTTGGACCTAAATTTGTGCCACCACCCCATGCCCCTGGCTCCCTTCCACGGTGTCAGCAGGTGGGTCCTCCAAAAACGACATGCAAAGAAGGGAAACGGCCAAATCAGAGCATCCAAGGGAGCTGTGGGTGCTCCTGTTCATTGCAGGGGATTTGGACCAGATGGCCTCTAGGGATCCCTTCCAACTCAAACCATTCTATGATCCTATGAATCAGGAGGAAAGACTCAAGATTTTTCAATACTCTTTGGAGGGTATTTGGCCAAAAAAAAAAACAAACAAAAAACAACCAACAACCACTTTTGCAGATCACAGGGCCTCCAAGAAAGGAGACAGGGATACGTCTTCTCTCCTTGCAGGTCATCACAATGCTCACAGTGATCCAAAGCACGTTCTCATCCTGCTTGGTCGCTGGCTCCAGTGCTCCCAGAAATGCCTCCTGTCTTCACATTGCACTCCCCCTCTGCCCACCTGGCTCCTTCAGCAGCAGGAGACACGATGGCCTCCTCCAGCCCCACTGGAGCACTCCGAGGGACATCATGTTGCCGTGGTGGCTTTGGTGTGGACACGGTGGTGGTGGCTGGGTTTGGTTCATCTGCTGGAGCTGCTGCCATTTACACTAGTGTATCTCTTATTGCTGTGCCAGTCTATTGAATAATGCAACTTTTCTTCGTATATATGTGTAGGTGTGTATGTGTGTGTGGGTGTAGATAAATCAATAGCTAGGTTAAAGTTATTTCTTTTTTTTCTTTTTTTCTTTTTTTCTTTACAAGTTCTTTGTTTCTTTCTCTGGACTCTCTGTCATCCTCAGCTCTGATGTCTGGGCTTGGAAGATGTTCCAGTGACCTGGGTGAGCAGAGATGGACACTTGTTAGCACTCACCCTCAGTTACTGAGATCAGGAAAGCCCATTTGCCCCTGCATCACACCAACTGCACCTGGGGGCCACTGCTGGGGCAGCTCATCAGCAGCCCCATGAGCTGCTCCTGGGCTTTGTCAGCTCACAACTACAGTGGGTCTGAGGCTGAGAGATGCTGAAGGGTTTTGGCATCTCCCATACACTAGGGGCTGCAGCCAGAGATGATTGCTACCCCCTAACCCTTACCCCATAACCACTGTCCCCCACCCCTCATCCTCTGTCCCCATCCTCTGTCATCTATCCTCTATCCTCCATCTCCTATCCACTACTCCTTATCCCTTAACTTCTATCCCTTATCAGCTATCCCTGTTCCCTATCCTCTGCTCCCTGTTCCCTATCATCTTCCTCTTCCCCCCATCCCCTAATCCTTTATCTCTTATCTCCTATTCACCACCCCCATTCCCTATTCCCATGCCCTATTCCCATCCCCTCTCTCCATGCCTTAGCTCTATTCCTTCTCTTCTTTCCCTATTCCCTTTTTCTTATCCTCGAGTTGGAACTAGACAGTCTTTAAGGTCCCTTCCAACCCAAACTGTTCTATGACCAGTGATCCTCTTTCCTTATCCCTTTCCCCCTTCCTGCATCCCCCATTCACTCTTGCTTATCCTCATCCTCTATCCTCTTAATCTCACCCTCTTTTCCCCACCCTCCCTCCTCACCCCATCCCCCACCCTCTATTTCCTTTCCCCTTCTTGCTGCAGCTATGTTTCTACTCTCAAGCTGAGCTCCACAAACCTCTCACAATGCAATTAACAGCTCAGTCAATGATATTTCTAGGGTTTCCCTGAGAAAACACTCCCTGCAAAGCAAAAGCATCACCCCAAAAACAGGCACTGAGCCCCCTCCCAACCCCTCCCATTGTTCCCCTAACGCATTGCCACGCACCCCAGAGATGCTGGAGGAAGCTCAGCCCTTTCCTGCATCCCTTATAAATGACTGACCTCCCCACAGTCCCAATGAGGGGCAGAGACCCCATTCCAGTGTGGAGCCCAACCTGAGAGCAGAGGCTTGAAAATCCCGCAGCGCTTGGCCACGAGGTGCTGTCTCAAATGGGCTGAAGGTGAAAACCAACCTTCACCAACACCATCACTGTGTAAACCGCTTCATAATGGGCAGCCAATACCCTGGCCCATGGATGCTGAACGACATGGGAATGGCCTTGATCCCACCCTGACCCCTTAAACCCTAATCCAGCCCAGGCAAAGAGGCAGCCAAAGGGAAACGGCGCGGCAGTTTCGTTCTGCACAGGCACTGTCAGCCATGTGCACCAGCATTCCTCCTTTTTTGTAACATTTACGCACATCCAAGAACATTAAGAATGATTTTCAAAGATATTCCAGAGTTTATTTCTTTCAAATCCCTCGCATAATTTCGCTCCCTGCCCCGTCACACCAGACGGATCAGATATAAAAACCAAACAGTTTTACGGGCTTTGGAGGGATCTCGCCTTTGCATTTCACAAGAGCACGTCCACTTTTAGAAAGCTGGCTGCCCTTTGCAATCCCATAAAGAGAAAATGTGACCACTGACCGAGAGCATGGGGTGGTGGGACCCAGCAGGAGGGGGGGACAAAGGGGATCTTTACCTTCATTCGTTCTGGTGATCAGCCTGAAGTTCTGTGCTTCTTGCTTGAATTCCTGTTTGCTGATCTTCTTGGTTTGGATCAAGTGAAATATCCCTGCAGAGAGAAGCACAGGGGCAGTGCTGTAGGGCTGTAGGGCTCAGCGTGGTTTTGGTGCACATCTCCATCCCCTCCTGATGCACACAACCCAAAGATTTAGGTTGTGGGGTCCAACAAAACTCGTTGAGAGGTTGGGATGCCCAGCGTAGGACTGGGAGAAATCTCTTTTCCAAACTGCACTGGAGGAGTTCTGATCTCCAAGAAACCATCACAAGGACAAAGCTGGGATCAATGGGATCCTGGATCCCTCTCCTCTCCACTCGCTCTCCCCATACCACCCACCCAGTGGGGGTTCTCCCATCCCCTGCTGCCTTCTTTTTATAGACTCATAGAATCATTACGGTTGGTAAAGACCACAATGCCCAGCCCTGGAAGCAGCCAGGACCAAAGTTTTTCCATTCCTTTGCCCTCAGCCCTGTAACTTCTACAGGACAGGAAGCACATGGCCAACCTCAGATGGATATTTTAGCCCACGCCAGCACTGTCCCATTCAGGGGATGCCTGAGTCAGATGTCTGACATGAGAAAACCACACATTTAGCAACGGAAGTGACCTTTCCGTGGGATTAGGGGTCAGGATATTCATCCCTGTATGGAAGCATGATGAAGGGGGCAGCTATGTGGGGCACATCCTCCCCATACCTCTCCCGTCTCCTTCCCACGTGCCCCACATTGCACTGATGTCTGATGTCGTTTCTCTCTGTTTGGGTAAGAGACCTTCCCGCTTCCCAGCAGCAGTTACACATACGGTGAGTGTGTAATGGATGGGAACCAGCATGTGATCCATCTAAATGGGATGTTGTGGAGTGTGGAAAGTTAATACGGGAAGTCTTAATGCATCGGGAGAAATATGAGGCTGGTTGGGCTATTAATAAGCCCTGTAAGTGGGTCGGGAAATGGAGTCCTACCAGTAACAAAAGGAGACGCTGGATGGAGATAATAAAAGTGTTAATGACGCAAGGAAGGCACAAGTGTTCCATAAATCCTTCTCTCTATACTTAGAAAGGAGCAGGAGGGTGTGCTCACAGCCCTGGGACTGATGAAGCACTTTCCACCAGTAACCAGGAGGTTGTTTTAAACAAGAGCCACAAGAGATAAACATCGTTTAATCGACTGACCCGAATAATTTACACTCGAGAGCCCCCAGAGAGCTGGCTGAGATGTGTGGTCTCTGGATGGTCATTTCTGACACATGCCAGGAGCTGGGGAGCCATGGAGCAACGCGGATGTCGAGTCAGCACTCGCAAGGGAATGAGAATAGCCTGCTCTTGCTGCCCATGGAATCATAGAATCATTCAGGTTGGGAAAGATCTCTGAATCATCCAGTCCAACCGTCCAATCCACCAATATTGCCTGCTGACCATGTTTGTGAGTACCTAACCCGTGAAAGTAATGGAAAAGCCAACATGGATGGAGCTGGTGAAGAATGAGGATTGTGGGGGGGCAAAGGCTGGGCAATGCCAGCAGATCACAGAATCATAAAATGGCTTGGGTTGGAAGGGAATAAGGATCATGAAGCTCCAACCCCCCACCACACGCAGGGCCACCAACCTCCACATTTCACAGCAGCCCAGGCTGCCCAGGGCCCCATCCAACCTGGCCTCGAACACCTCCAGGGATGGACGGGGCATCCACAGCCTCTCTGGGGAGTTGTTCCAGCACCTCACCACTCTCACAGCAAACAACTTCCCCCTCACATCCAACCTCAGTCTGCCCTCCTTCAACTTCAAACCATTTCCCCTTGTCCTGCTGTTATCTACCCTTTCCAAGAGTTGACTCCCCTCCTGTTTGTAGGCTCCCTTTAGGTCCTGGAAGGCTGCAATGATTCACCCCACAGCCTTCTCCATCCTGAACAAGCCCAGCTCCCTCAGCCTGTCTTTGTAGTGGAGGTGCTGCAGCCCTCTGATCATCTTTGTGGCTCCTCTGGACCCTCTCCAACAGCTCCCTGTCTTTCTTGTACTGGGGGCTCCAGACCTGGACGCAGTGCTGCAGATGGGGCCTCACGAGGGCAGAGCAGAGGGGGACAATCCCTTCCCTGTCCCTGCTGGCCACCCCTCTTCTGATGGAGCCCAGGATCCCATTTGCTTTCCTGCCCAGCAGACCCTGGCATTGAGCTTAGGAGGATGAGGGAGGTGGTGGGGCTGCCTCTTCTCACCCCTCTTGGTGCTTTATGCACTGCCTCAGGGCAAAAAGCAGATAGATTCCAATATCATGGAGTGCAAGGAATGAGCTAACAACCAGACCAAAGGACCAGAAATTGCTAATGTCAAGGAAAGACTGATTAGAGGGTGGAGGAGATGACATGGGCTGGAGCTACTGGCATCTTTGAATGCATCAGAGGAAAGGAGTCTGCTGTCCCCAAACACCCAACCCAGAGAGAATTCAAAGGCAGGAGTGTGATCTACAGAGGCTGCATGTTGGGAATAGTTCTCCATAAAGAAAGGGTTTCTGGCTCTGGAAGAAATTATATGGACCATAGATTTTCTGTGGCAGGAGATCTCCAAGCACACATCACAAGAGAATACACCCAGATGGGGATGGCTGAAGGTCCCAGAGCCACAGATTTTCAGGATAAAACAGGATCTTTGGGTCATTGTCTAATCACAGCCTAGCAGGGTGAAAGAGGTCCATGGGGCATTGCACCTCCAAGTACAGGAGGCAAAGACAAGCCTCTGAACAATGTTGGTCTCTTTCTGATCCCATCCATTTTGTCCACACTGCCTGCAAAAGTTCCTTCTCCAAAACATCAAAAAGTCACATTTCAAACCTCCTGAGCCATTCAGACCCCTAAAATTGTGGGGGAGCCCCCACTGTGACTCATGCAGGGGTATCATCAGAGAGGTGGGTAGAGGTTTGGGCTGGGTGTTGCTGTTGGTTTCTCCTCTATTTCAGTGCCTCGAGGAGGAAACCATCCCAGCACAGAAATAGAGGAGGCCACGTAGGATGGTAAGCCATACAAAGGTGGATGGACAGGCTCCAGGCGTGACTTGCAGGCTCTCTGCTCCACACACGCTGCTCTGTTGGTAGAGTGATGGACCATGGAGAGGTGGAATCCATATGTGACTGAGCTCATGCTCTTTCCCAATAGTAACACTTTGCTCTGCCAAGCAAAAGAGCTGTGTTGGCCTCGGGGACAAGGGCCTCCCCTGTCCTTGGCTGGCAGGGCTCGGGAGCTCCGTGCAGACACGAAGCTTTTGGCCTCAGAAGGTGGCAAGAAGGTTTGGGTGGTGACCTCTGCCAAGCAGCAAGGAGAGGAAACGGAGGGGGGGAGGTTGGGGCCCAGACAGTGCAGCTCAACTGTCCTCCAGCTACAAGGTGCCATTGTGAAGGAGGCTTTGCTGTGCTGGGGGAGGATGGAGAGAGGAAGAAAGTGGGGTGGGAACATGGCGACAGCCACAGCTCCATCTCTGGAGGTAATTTTTCTGATTAATACACATGCACCCACCCTAAGTGGCTGGGAAGACCACAGAATCATGGAATCATTAAGGTTGGGAAAAGTCTCTCAGGTCATCTCGTCCAACCAGCCAACTACACCAATATTGCCCACTAGGGCAACAGTCTCAATAAGACTGGAAACAGCCCCAAGAGGGATAAGAACTCCTTTAGAGAGTGAAGTGAGACACCTACACACCCAGGAGAGCAGAATATCTGTTTAAAGGTGTCCAGAAGACACCCAGCTCCACGCTCTGAAGGTCGCTGTGTTCACAGGTAGGGCACAACTGACCCAAAGTGCCCAAGGCACGAGTTTTTGCAAGTATGTCTAATGAAGATATGAGGCTGGAACATTGTTTTGGGCACCCAGGTCCAGAAGAAACAGGACACAAAGATTCACGGGATCACGCAGCTTGGGTGGTGATGTGGTCCAGGAGAGTGTGGCACAGCTAGATGTACATGGAGAGTGCAAAAGATCAGTGTCATCTGACAGATTCTGTGCTGTGCTTTGCTGGAGTGTGCACCAACCAAACATCCCAAACCACTTTTCCAAAAAGCAGGTTGGGGCAGCTCATTTTCCCTGTGTGCAGCTCTGCAAGCTTTGTTACCAGCAGTTGGTGGATCAGGAAAAAAAAAGGGCAAAAGCAAAAATACAGAATGACTACAATACATATTTCTTTCAGTTTTCTGTGTGTTTGGCATGAAAGCAGGTGGGTTTTGAGGAACAACCCCACAGTCTCTGCCTTGTTTGCCCATACAGAATCATAGAATCATTCAGCTTGGAAAATATCTCTCAGATCATTTTGCCCAACCACCAGTACTTAGTTCAACCATTCAAGATGCTGTGCCACTGGATGGTGTTACAGCTTCTGGCTGGGTACACTGGGATCAAAAGTGGTTTCCAACACCATGCCTGCATACAACAATAGCAAAAGAGTGCAAAAAGGGGAAATAGAAAAGCTAGCCTGCTGTCAGCAGGGTTCAACTTTGTGGGCATGGTGGTGATGGGTTGATGGTTGGACTTGGTGATCTCAGTGGTCTTTTCCAGCCTTAATGATTCTATGATTGGAAAGCAGCACATGTCCAAGCAGATCTCCATAGTTGGCTGGCTTTGTTACGGGACTCACCTTTAATCAGCTTCCAGTTATAGATTTCCACCTCTTCCGTGAGCTCCTTCTCAATAGCGACGGTCCTCAGGATCTCCTTGGAGTTCTCAGAGCTCGGTGGCACAAACATGTACACCAGGACATGGTTGGGGGTCTTCCCACATCTCTCAGTGATGATTTCATCAGTGGGTTTGACTCTGGTTTCTGGGCACAGAGAAGAACAGTTCATTAAATAGGGCAAGAGCAACACGAAGGAGGTGGAGGTGAAAGGTTTGCAAGAGGCCATCTCAGCTCCCAGAGAAGGCTCAGACCTGGGGCTGGATCCCAACAGACACAAAGTATGTGCATCAAGGCTGGAAGCAAAGGGAGATATTGATAAAAGGGAATGTTGATAAAGGGTGACATCGATTTCAACTCCCCTTGGTTTTAGAAGCCCCTAGAGCATCAGTGATTGGAGCAGGGTGATTTTCAACACCTGCATCCCTTCTAACCATCACCTTGGTGCCAACACCATGCAGCAAAGCCCAGCCTTCCCATCTCTCTCTCATCCCAAAGGAGCAACGTCAGTGAGGCAGAGGGATGAGCCCACAGCACAGGAGCCAGCACTGCGGCCGTGCTGCCTGGGCACAGTGCCCATCCCAGCCCCACGGGTGGGCTCAGCCCCAAACTGAGCCCCCTCCCCACGCAGAGCTCCTTCGCGTTGGTCCAGGCAAGCAGCAATTGGGACAACATCACCAGGACCCTGTGTGACTTCTCCAACACCCTTGGGTGAAGAAGAGAAGCTCATTTTTTGTTGTTGTTGTTTCTGGAGTAATGAAGAATCCCCCATGGTTTTGGAAGGAGATTTATTGCCTTTGGTTGTGGTCCTTGGAACGCAGAGGAGCTCAGCTGAATTTAGCCTTGTTCTCCCCCGTCGTTTTGGATGCTGGAGCTTTTTACACTACTCGAAAGAAAGTTTGGCTATAAATAGAGACGTGGGGTTTATTTTAGTAGGACGGTTATTTTAGGCCTGATTCTGCCCTCCCCATGCTTTCTGGGGTGGTCCTGAGCTAATCTTTGCACACACTGGTAGAGAGGGGATGGAAATCTCAGTGTAAAGAAGTGCAAAGCAGGGATTTTTCAGCAACAAGTGTTCATTTTTGCAGCCCCAGCGTGACCCAAGGGGACGACCAGATGCCACTACCCTCACTCTACCCTGTCACCATGGGATCTGGGTGCAGAACCTCCATCCCTCAGACTTCATCTGCACCCAGGCTGCTTTTTGCAACGCTCAAGGCAGCCCCACATCCACAACCAGCAAGCAAGGAGCCACATGCTCTTGTACAACAGCTATTTAATAGCCTCAGAGCTTTACACCAGAGCCACTTGATGGCCAACACATCAAGGAGGAGGAGTAGGGACCCTTCTGACCACCAGTTCTCCCCACACCAATGGTGGCTGCTTCCCGACCAATGCATCGCAGCAATTTCCCTTTTGCACAGAAAGCAGTCAGCATTTCCCTCCAAGCTACAGTGCACAGAGGAGCAAGAGGAGGACAGGACCATGGAAACTGCCTGGAAAATGACGACGGCGAAACCGCCGTGCAGTGAAGCAAAGGACAAGCATGTAACTTGGCTGAGCATTGTGTGTGTGTGTGATTGCTATCTATGAGTACTGGAAAGTCACTTTGGCTGGGTCAGAGTGTTTAACTGGAAATAAATGAAGTCTGAAGAGCAGACAAGAGATCCCAGCAGAGAAAGTTGTAGATTTTAAACCAGAGAGAACTGCTATAATGGGAATGCAAGACTGGAAAGGATCTGCTCAGTCATCACATCCCATTCCCACCAGGCACCACGTCATAAATCCTGCTCATAAACATATCAGAAATCTTATTAAAACAAGCTGAGATTCTGCCCTTTGCTCCCCAGGGGAGTCTGTCCCAGCACCTCCCTGCTTGGCAGGGGAAAACCTTAAAAATCCCAGCTGAGGTTGCTGTGCAGTCTATTTGCCCCCATTCCTCAACCTGACAATGTCCCTTGCTTGTTCTCCTGCTGAGACCCCTCCATTAAGGTGTACATCTGAGAAGATGACCCAGCAATTGCCACATCTGCAGGCAGGCTCAGGTATCTTTAGCCTCTCTATGGAAGCAGTGGGTTGTCCATCATCTGAACATCCAATACAGAATGATAATGCGAAGAGGTATAACCTAGAGAACATTCTCCATTGGAAACAGAGAAGATCTGAAGCTATGCCACATTTTTACCAGGTCTGGCGTTGTGGATACACAGCTTTTCAAAGACCAGGAAGCAGCTGAGAGACCCCAGATCCACTGAATATGAAAAGAAGATGTCACTTCACCACGTCCCAGCCCCAGGATCAGCCTTGCTCCACCTGGCTCACCCGGATGGCTGCATGGCCAGCCCTCCCTTTCCACGGATGGAGACCTCAACTTCAGCTCAGCCCAAACCATGGGTGCCACAGTACCTGGAGAGTGTCCTTCTGATTTCAAACTGCCACAGTTAAACCCAGTAACTTTTGTCCCAAAGCTTCAAGTGAGGGCTGGAGAGCAGACCAGGGCCTCTCCCCTCCCTGCCTGTCTGAAGACTGTTAGCACGTAGCTCTTCAGGCATCTTCCTCCATTCTACAGCCACTTAGCACATGCAACATTTTGGGATCGGTTTCCTCACCTCAGTTCAGTCCAAGAAAGACTTACATCAGTGTGCGCTCTGCAGAACTCACCTGGCATGAATTCAGTGATGTGAAACCCTATACATCCTTATGCCCAGGGCTTTAAACCAAAGCTTGAGGAAGGAAATGGAGGACAGCTGCAAGAGCAGGTAGGATCTCACATACCTGGACATATTTTACAGCATTTCCCATCTACTTTTTCCGGAGAGTCACACGGATACTCCTTGGGGCATGTGATCTTCTGGCAGTCCTGGACACCATCCCTGCAGGTGCACAGGATGCAGGGCAGGAGCCCATAGAGCCGGAAGACGGGGTGCCACACTTCTCCATGGGAGTAGGTCTTCCCATTGTAAACACAGGCTGGAGGAGAGAGAAAAGCGATGCCAGTAGGAATCTCTTCATACATCCAAAGCCTGGTGGAGCTCAACAGGTTTCACCATCTCACAAACGAGTGTCCCTGCAGCCTTGAGGAGCATGACCCTACCGCCTTGGGAGCACAACCCTACAGCCTTGAGGACTGTGGCCCTACAGCCTTGAGGAGCGTGGCCCTGTGGCGTTGAGGATCATGACCTACCAACAACACATCTACCTGCAGAGTGACGCGGGGACATCACAGCCTCCCCATCCAGGAGGTGCCATGGGACATGGGGACCAGGCTGCAGAAGGTGGAGGCTGCTGGGGTCAAGTAGGGGTATGGGGCAGCTGTGGGCAGGAGCTCACCTGTCTCCTGACTTCTATGAGCCCAGGGTCCCTCCAAGGCCTCCACCAACACCAAGCACAGTGAAGAGTGCCACCTGCTGACTTTTGCATGCAAATTTTTGGAGGTCCCAGAAATTTCCTCCAGGGCTTCATCTCCAAAGACCGGAGAGAGCCTTTGTGGAAGCACGGTACTGGGAGAGTCCCCAAGAGGAGAAGGGATCTTTCTCCTCCCTTTTGGCTCCATGCTGTTTTCCCTCCATCTTTGCCTTCCAGGAGGAAGCCAATGGCACCAGGATGGACTCATCACAGTGAAGGTAGTTGCAAGGGGGGATCCCCCTGTCCCTATGCAGCAGAAAGACCATAAAAGGACCATGTGAGATCTTTCAACTGAACACCTCCCTTCCCAGGTCCCAGATCTCCAAAACACGCCAAAGTCTGGCCTTCCTCCAGCTCTGGGGTTGGAGATTCATATAGAAAAGGGATTGTGATACTAGGGTCAGGGCCACCAGGGCTGAGATAGCTGAGTGAGTGAGCGAGCTGAGGGTCGTTGTTGGAAAGCTGCTGTTGAAACAGCTTCTCTGGAGCCCAGAGTCCTGAAGAAGGCAATTCAGGAGACACAGAGACCACCTGGTCCCTCCCCTTACCTTTCTTGTGCTTCTCTTTCAAAACGATCTTCACGGTGGTGCCACCTCCCCCCTTGGGTTTGAAGCTTCTGGGGATGAACTCCAGTGAGGAACTGAGCACGGTGGATGCGGTGGCTCCGGGTGGCTTTCTGTTCATTGCTTCCCCCAAGCACTGGTCTTGTGAGTGCCTCTGGGAACAGTCAGAGAAAACAAGGGGACTCAGACCCAGGTGGTTTGGTTGTTCTCACTCCATGCTGCAAAAAGCCACAGAATGGGAAGGTTCAGAGACTGCAGGGATGAGCAATGAGCAGGAGCCATCTCAGTGCTGTTACTGCCTAAGGAGCGATGAGCAGTCAGTCCCAGTGTCCCTCATTGCTGTCCTCTGTAGAGCTGCATGTGGGTCACCTTCTCTCATTGGGGCAGCATCCACACAATACCTACACCCAAGGCTATACCCTCATGGTGTTTGGGGTCCTACACTGGTAGGGAAATGGGCAACTGAGGCCTGGCATCTATATGATAGAACCACAAGGATCAGAGAGGTGAGCATGGGCTGTATCCTGCCCTCTCACCTGGCTGGTACCAGGAGCATTGTCAGCTGGCAGGAGTAAAATCCCTGGAATATCCCAAGAGCAAAGTGCTGGGACAAGACAAGCAGCACAAAGGGTGTCCTTGTGTCTATTTTGGAGGTTTTATAGGTGGTGGAGGTGTGACGCTGGCGTTTCACCCAGCAGTATGGAAAAGGGAAGGGCCAGGAGCTGTAAGTGACCTACTCCCAAAGAGCTGGCATGGGCTGCCCAGCTTCGAAATGTCACCGTGAATGAACTCTGAGCAGCCAGGGAGTCACTTTTTCCTTGCTGGGGCTGCTGATACAAACAGACTGGGGAAAGCATGCTCATGGCCAGCTCCAGTGTTGGATGTACAAATGGGAGGAGGACACCCTTGAGCTCGGGGGAAGAGTAAAACCCAAACATCCGAAGCTCTCAAAGACAGATTTGGGCCACCCAACTCCATGGGTAGGGGCCACATATGACTGTCATTCACATAGGAATTTCTCTGTTCAACTCCTTCAGCCATTTTAACCCACTGGCTAATAAAGAGAAGTACCCAAGTTTTCCAGTTCCCACAGGTCTTCTGCTCTTCCAGGACAGCAGAGATGTTCCAGAGGAGAGGACAAGAGTCCTAACAGCTCTCACCTAAAGCCAACTCCCAAGCACGACTCAGCTGCAAACCAAGTGTCAGTGGTTCTACTGCCCACGAAGCTGGCTGCCTTCATGCTATGGGTCATTTCTTGTAAAGCTTATAGCCAAGGGCAAATAGCTTTCTTTGAGATGTTTAATGGGGCTGTGTTAGAAGAAACAAACTGAGTTTTAAAATGTAAATGTCACGTACAACACCTCTGTTTAACTGCAGGGGTTCCTCTTCCGCAGACTTCTCATATGAGCCATCTGCAAGGAAAAAACATGGTCCAGTGAAGTGCTGCAGAGATGGATGAGGATTTGTTCACTGGGGTCCAGATGACTGAAAGCAGCTCTCTGCAGGGCGCTGAACTGCCTGTGAGCTATTGGAAGAGCGGAGCTTTGCAAATGGGATTCACATCACCCAAAGCAAATGGGAGCATGGCTCGTCTGTGTCACACCCCAAAAACCCAAAGCAAATGGGAGCAGGGCTTGTCTGTATCACACCCCAAAACCTCTTTTATCCCCACTGACAGCTAATAAGAGCTCAGCTCTGAGAAAGGCAGGACCTTGTGTACTGCTGAGGTTAGGTGGCATAGAAACACCCTAGAGATTAAGTACAAGGTGATGGAGATGGTCTGGCATTAAAAATAAACCCAAAGGCATTTCAAATGAAACGCTGAGTCAATGACATGCCTCAAGTGCAAGGGTAGCTCTGGTGGTGCCCACAGCTCCATGAATTCTGCTTGTTTGGTGTCCCACAACCAACTCCACCCGGCCCAGGCTCTGGTTTTCCCGATGTGTATAGTGGCTGCAAAGCACTTTAACATATCTGGCACTCATTTAGGGCTTTCTGTAGGATCTAAGCTCTTCTAAAAGGATGCTGTCCCAGAGCAAAACATCCACACTCTGTTCAGAGCAACCTCTTTGCTTGCAGTGAGGTCACCAAAGCCCTACAGATGCCACCAAGCCTAGCACAGAGGGGCACAAACTACAGCAGGGGGCAGTTTCAAGGAGGTGCCTACAGATCACTCTGTGACCATGGTCAGGATGTCACTGTGGTCTTCCAGCTTCATATATGTTTCTGGTATTGGGATTAAAGTCTCATTTCAATCTGTGAACTTTGCAAGGCGTGAATCCACCCATTCACTCTTGAATTGGTCCACATCCAGAGATGTGGATCTGGATTTCCCCTCACTTTCCTAGATGGGAGTTAGGGAAAACAGCAGCAAATTCAAGAGTGAAACTCAACCAAGGCCATGCTGTAACTGAGCTGGAAGATTTTTTTTCCAGGTCCTGATTATTCTGGAAACTTCCCTAGAGAAATAGCAGCATGCACCACTCTTGATACATTTACCATTAAACTACTTCCATCCTAGTGAGCAAGTGATCTGGAGGATGTTGTCTTCTGTGCAGGTCACATCCCTTGCATGATGCAGCAGGGGTGGGACAAAGAGCTCAGCCCTGGCCAGTGTATGGGCTGCAGGGGGGTTGGACACAACTAAGTGCTTGAGAGGTAGCATAGGAGGAAAAAAAGGAACTGGTATCTTTTGTTTCCTGGTGTGACTCAGAGATAGCAAGTGGCCTAAATTACAAGACAGACTTCCAAAATCCTGCTGAAGTTCCTTGAAATAGTTCCTGTCAGGTAGTGGCAATCCTGTGCCCATAGTCCTTGCTTAGGAGCAGCTCCTCTTACCTTTGCAGACCTGGCAGCATGAGTCTGGCACAGTTAGAGGATTGGAGCATAGCAGCTCTGGGCAGGTCACCAAACCACAGTAAATCTGGCCTTCCTAAGAGAGAGCAGCAAAAAAAAAATATATTGTCAGCATTGCCAATGTCCAAACAGAGCTATGAGCACCCAGTGTTGGGGTGCCAATACTTCTGATTGTAGATCCAGTGTAAATCATCAGCACCCCAGAATGCCATCCTCAAGTATCACCCAATGATTGAATGCTGAAAATCTGCTCCCACCACATTTTCAACCTGCAGGACGTGGCATGGTGGCCCTCTCCTAGCAAGGCTGGATCCCATTGCCAACCCACATGCTCACAAGTGGAGGGGGTGGATTGGGATAGGTAGTGCTCTGATCTCAGACATCATTAGTGCAATCAGAACTGGAACAGCCACCACAGATCTGTAAATTCTGCATAGCACCAGCTTAGATTGGCACAAAAACCTGTTCCCTAATACAACCCAGGATGAGGACCTGCTGGAAAGGGGAATTGCAATGCTGAACCTGGAGCTTGCTCTATCTCACAGCTCTGCCCTCTCTCTCATTCAATAACTCCAGAACAGAGCACACAGAGACACTGGACTAAGAGCAATGGATGGATGATCAGATGTGGGCTTTCCTGGCTTGGTGGCTGGTTTGGAAAAACAATGAAAAGCTGAAAACCATGCAGTAAGGCTAGTGTTGATGTTTGTGCACTCCAGTCCTACATTGCTCAATGGAATTGCAACCATTTGCTGCAGGGATGAGTTTTTGCTGCTTTGCAGGATTGAAAAAAATATTCAGCAGCCCAGAAGCAGCCAGATCCCACCAGCAAGGCTCTCTTCTCCATGCTGCAGTGTTCTCCAGGGCATCACCAAGCTCTTGCTCAATGGAAAACAGATTAACCAAGATGTCCCCAGAAAACCAAATCACAGCAGCATCCCTGACCATCCAAAAGCCAAGAGACAGTGCAGGGGACACAGAGAGGAGGCAGGAGGTCTGGTGGATCACATAGAGGTCACAAACCAAAGCCTTCAGGAGCATTGAAAGGGGTCCAGACCTACAGGGAGAAGGATCAGGCTATAGTGGCATGCTCTTCCTTCTCCTTCTGACCAGCAGGTCACAGCCAGGACCTGCCCTGGATGGGAGAGAACACGTCATACGAAGCAGGGTTTGAGCCAGAGGCTCTGGTCTCAGGATGCTTTTCGAAGCTGTTTCCACCAGCTGTTCACGCAGCTGTTCTAACAGCTGAGCTCAGACACAGCCCTGCAAGACCCCACCACTGCAGGGCTCCACGGTCATCCTTTTATTTTCTGCTTTGTATCCAAGGCATTATCCTGCCCAATAAACAGCTGGAGTGAGATCCATTGCCTCCAAGAGTGACAGGCAGGTCTGTGTGTCCCTACATCTGGAGATGGTGGGGTCAGACATCACATAGAGTTAGACTGAGGGCTCCTTCCCCAGCATTTGTCTCCATCAGAAGGTGGGCTAGCATCCAACTGGGGTTGGTAAGAGAGGAACAAGCCCTAAAAGCTGTTTCTAAAAGTATGAGCTATTGCTCTTGCTACCTGGCTCCAAGTTTAGCCATACACCAAGGGCTAAAAGCAGGTATGCCAGATATCAAAGCTAATCCACCACTCAGCAGTAGTCGCCAGGTGCATGCTCTTGACATGATGGAGTGATGTGGGGTGGAATTGCTCACCCCTCTTTCTTTCCTGACTGAGATTAGTCTAATTCTTTGCTGCAAGCAGAACACAGAGCAGTAGAGCCTGGCATCCTCCAGAGCTCTGTGTGACAGCTCGTGAAAGCCATGTCTGTGCCACCCTCTTCTTTTTGATGGCAGTATCCAAGGCCAGCAACACCACTCCTAAGCTCCCTTCCTCAAGAAGGAGGAACCCCCCCCCCCCCCCCCCCCCCCCCCCCCCCCCCCCCCCCCCCCCCCCCCCATCTCCTATCACTCAGCTCCTGGCTCGTGCAGCCCCATGCTCTGTACACATTCACCATCACCTCTGGCCAGGCTGCTTTGTGCATCCCAAGAGAAGTTTGTCACTTTTCAATGGGTTTTTGTAGGATTCCAGCCTGTAGGAGAGGGCAGAGCAGAGCAAGCCCTGTTTCAGGACGTTGCTGAAGGGTCAGGGAGGAAGGATTTCTCTCTGGTGTGGTAGAGAGGTGGTAGATAGACAACTCTGCAATGAATGCCCCAATCTATCTGCCATCATCTCCAGGATGAGCTCCACCACACAGGGCAGGAGCTCTTCCTGGAGGCACAACACCCCAACACCAGTGGTTGGGATACACTAAATCACATCTGGAGTTCAGCTCTGCTCCATTCCAGGCTCTTCATTCCAATAATTCTTGAGGCCCAAGAGCTGGCACCTTGCGGCCATGTAACCTTGCAGGCAAGATGAGCTCTCCCAGATCCTTTTTGCAACAAACCTCATCTATTTTGCAGCAAATACAACTGCAGAAATGCTTCTGGCTCTCCTTTTCCAAAGAATCAAAGAATTGTTAAAATTGGAAAGACTGCTAAAGTCATCAAGTCCAATTGTCAACCCATCCCCACTATGCTCATTCATAGAATCACAGAACCATTATGGTTGCAAAATACCTCTAGATCCTCAAGCCCAACCTCCACCAAACCCTCAACATAACCACTAACCACATCCCTCAGTGCCACATCTCCATGGCTCTGGAACAGGGACAGAAACCTCACCACCTCCCTGGGCAGCCTGTGCCAATGCATCACCACTCTTTTGGAGAAGAAATTTTTCTTAATATCCAACCTGAGATGTCTTGAGACATCTCAATGGGGCAGGTGAGATAGCTGAATGCTGTACAGACCACTCTGCATCCTCTGGGACAAAGCTTTGCCCATTGTGCACCCTAAGGATCCTTAGCCTAGGACAGGTCCATGGATTTCCATCAACCAGGAGATGTGACCAGATGCTCAGACTGATTTTCCCAGATTGCTCCTGCAAAGGTTTTTGACATTGCAGGATAATTGCAGACCCCAAGCCCTCCCAACCCAAGGGCTCATTGCTTGCTTACAGAGCAGCTGCACTGCACACACTGGTTGGGCTGGCGACTTGGGAAGAGCTCACTGGTGGTGAACATCTCTCCTTGCTGGTATGTTGTCCCATTGTACTGGCAGGATCTGACAGGTGCCCGGAGACCAGAAGGGGAATTTGGCTCTGGAAGGGAGGAGAAGAGAGCAAAGAGGTGAGAGCCAGCCCCCACCAGCTTGGGTGCTCAAACAGATTCCCCCCAGCCCAACCCCAAGGAACAAGGAGCTCTGACACGTAATAGTTATTATGAAGAAGTGGTCAGGGCAGTGCACATCTTGTGAGGACTCAGGTGCCTGAAAGCTTTTGGAGAATGGAATTGCCCTGACTGCAATGAGCTTGCCACAAAGGTTTAACCTGGACAAATGTTGTTCATTTTTAGCTAATTACCCTTGGGAGAAGCCATTTCCATAGAATCATAGAATTATTTCAGTTGGAAAGGACCTTTTAAGGTCCCACTCCCCATCTGGTCCCATTCCCCATCAATGAGCAGGGACATGCACAGCTTGATCAGGTGCTCAGAGCCTGGAGATTTTCATCTGACCTCTAACATCAGCCAGAGTCATCACATCCAAGGAAGGAAAAAGATTTTTAAAAATTGTGCAAGATCTTCAAAAAAATTCTTTCTCCCGTAGCCAGCACTTTCTGTGGTCAAATGATCTGCTTCATGTGCTGACTTCAGACTTGTCACTGATCTGTGATCTGATGTTTTGCCCCTACAAGGCTCCTTAGGGTGGGGGGAGCTGGAGAAAGTGATTTGGTAAAGGGCCCTGTTACAAAAAAGTGACATTTTTGTGCAGGCAAGAGCAATGCCAGCAGCCTGAGCTGCCATTCCTGTCATGACGTCAAAACCAAACCCAGAACCACTGTGCAGCTCCTCGAGCACTCAGGTGATGACTATATCAAAGCTATGTCCAAAAAACAGCTGTAAGCAAGCCTGTGACTCAGTTTCTCTGCTTCCTTCCTATGAAAACCCAGGAGGATACAAGGAGCTTTTGTGCCCCTGGCACAGCACGGGCATGGTGGCCACAGGGCATGATCCACCCTCTACAACCAAGTCCAATCTTCAACCCATCAGCACCATGTCCACACCCAGAGCCATAGAATCACAGAATTGTTAAGGTTGACAAAGACCTCCAAGACCCCCAAATCACACCCACCATGCCCACTGATCACATCCCTCAGTGCCACATCCCCATGGTTCTTGAACACCTCCAAGGACGGTGGCTCCATCACCTCCCTGGGCAGCCTGTGCCGATGCTTTACCACTCTTTCATTGAATAACTTTTTCTTTATATCCAACCAGAACATCCCCTGGTGCAACATAAGGCCATTACCTCTCGTCCTAAAATTCCCCTTTGCTCCTGTCATTCCCTCCCCATGGGATGGCCCCGTACCGAGACACCGTGGGCAGCACTGCTGGGGGTCCGTGACGGGGCTGGCACATTGCAGAGCGGGGCACTGGATCCGATAGCACCTCGTGTTGCCATTCTGGGGAGAGACAAGAGCGATCCTTTCAGCTACACATTTATCCCACAGGGAAAGAAAGAGCTTCCCAAAGTTGCCTCTTTCTTGGAGTTTTCTAGGGGAAGAGGCTGTTGCATGATAGCCCCTTTAGCACGACAGATGGTGCTGGTGGAACTCAGCCAACCGAGGCTTCACAGAATCATAGAATATCCCAAGTTGGAAGGGACCCATAAGGTTCATCGATCCAGCTCCTGGCTCGCCATCCTCAGCTCAGACTCACTGCCAGCTCATGGTTTCCTTTATCATCACCAATGATCAGCCATGGTCCCACTGCAGCCTTGAGCCACCTCCACCCACAGCCCACCAATGCTGTCGAGACAGCTCCCTCACAAGGCCAACCCAACATCTGTGGGGGATATGGGGATTTATCAAAAGTAAATATATTAATCCAGTGGAAAGCATCTTCTCTTGTCAAATTAGACACCAGAATCAGCTGATAATGCCCTGGTTGCCACCTCTTATGGCAATGCATGTGGGACATACCTCGGAGCAGCTGCAGCGGATGCAGTACATCAGCCCCTGCGGCTCCAGGTAGGGGTGCCAGCTCTCACCTGGGCTGTACTTCTTGCCATTGAAGTCACAGAACATATCCGGCCCTGAAAGACAATGGGGAGAGACTACATGAGAGAAGGAATGGCCCTCAGGAGAGCTCTCCTTCCTCTGTGATGAGCAGAGCAAGGAGGGATCAATGGCTTCATGCCATCACCCCTGAGTATCTGACAGTCACACCCCATCCACCCAACCCCAAGGTGAAGACATTCATCAAAACCATTTTTTTTAACTATAAAATGTTTCTTTATGCTGGGACTCATCTGACCAAATGGCAACTCCACTGTACATGCTGGACTGCCTTTGCAGGCAAGGAACAGAATGTGTGTTGTTGAGGCACAAATTAGCACTGTACCTCTAGAACAAGTCAGAATAAACCTTCATTTGAAGGCAGGCAGGTGTTGGCAAGTTGACACAATGAGATGGAATTTCCCCCAGGAAAACCAGAAGGGCTGTGAGTGGTGGGGAAGAGAGGAGAGTCTGAGTTTGGGAGAGGTTTTTGCTATTAAAATAGAAGAAGAAGAAGAAGAAGAAGAAGAAGAAGAAGAAGAAGAAAGGAAAAGGGAGTAAGAAGAAATGAGAAATGAAGAATAGAAAATGGAAAAAGGGTAAATAAAAATACATTTTGGAGTGGAAAAGACATTTGGGAGTTGAAAAGCATTTTGAAGGAAAACTTTTGCTATCTGTAAGAGAGATCATTCTCTTAAAGATCCCTTGACAAACACATCAGCACAGGGAGGATGGTGAAGTCTTGCCCAGTCCCACCAGTTAAAGTCCCCTTGGCTTCACTGGGATTCAGGCATCACTGGTTGGGATGGTGTTGGTTGAACTGATCTCTTCCCTTATGAGGCTGTCCATGGGAACAGCAAGTTCACCACTGAGACATCTCCACTCATTCCTCATTCTTGCTTGTAGAAAAGCTGTGGCTCTGTACAAAGGATGATCCCAAACATGACACCAACCTTTCCCTGCCAGTCTCTGCATGAGAAATATCAACTTTTTGCCTCAGAGGGTCAGCAAGCCCAAGGGGTGCTTACAAAAAGGACATTTGTGTGAGAAGACAATGCTCAACTCACCATAAAAAGCCAGCAATTTTAACATGTCCCAACTTCAGATGGAAATATTTGGGAGATGCTGAAAAACCACAGGCTGATCAAGTTCAAAGCTTCACCCCAAAAACCACAATTCACAATTTTTCTATTCCTCTCTGATCCTACCATCATGAGAAGAACCAGATTCCAGCTTCTGAACTGGAGGCTTCCATCCCAGAAATGATACAGCCCTACCTCTGCCAGGATGGGTCTGACATGGCATGGCACAGGGATGCGAGGTGTTGGACACCACCAGGGCAAGAGATACCGCTGGGAGATCACTTCTCACCCCAGATTCCAGCAGGTCCCTAGCAAATCCCCTCCAGCTCCAACTCTTTGCTTGCACACCCCCAGGAGGATGAGGATCAGCATGCAGCAGGACTTGTGGGTCCATACCCACCCCACCAACAACCCAATTCAGCCATCCTTAATGCCCGCATCAGACAGCCCCACCTGGCCCAACAGGACTGAGCCAGACCTAAATGAAAACAGACCCCATAACTTCACTGCCCCTGCTGTCCCATGACGTGTCCCCAGGACCCAAACAGCTGGAGGGAAGCACCAGTGCTTATGCTCTGTTGTGAACAAGCACATGCCTGACCACGCATGTTATTAGTGCTCTATGTGCTTACGGCCCCACTAACACTGGAGGTGATTTAAAAGATTATGTCACTGAGGGGATTTGAGGTAGTTTGGGTGATGACGTTGCTCGGAGGCAGCTGAGATGTTTACACTCCCTGAAGCATTTACAGGCCTTTAAAATCTTACAGAGCCCTAGGGGAGAGGGCAGAGGGGGATGGCTGTTTGCAGGGGCATGACGCCCAGCTCCTGCCACCAGCACTGGAGATGCCACCTCCTCATTGCAAGTTCTCCCAGCAAGCAGGCACCACTCCTAGGAATACACTGTGGTGGGCTGCCACCCCTTCTGCCAGCTCCTGAGCATCCTCAGGATGAGCCCAATGGGTGCTCTGCCACTGCCAACTTCTAGCTCCTCATTGAGTTCATAGAATCATAGACTCATTAAGGTTGGAAAAGACCTCTAAGATCATCACATCCAACCCCAACCCATCCTACAATACCCACTGACCATGTCCCTAAAAGTCACATTCCCATGATTCTGGAACACCTCCAGGAAAGGTGATTCCCCCCTCCCTGGGCAGCTTGTGCCAATGCCTCACTGCTCTTACAGAGAAGGATTTTTCCCTGATATCCAGCCTGAACCTTACAGCAGTGTGAGGCCATTCCCATCATGAGATTCTCCAGGTTGTATCTTCAAAGGCAGGGGGAGGGAAGCAGAAAGGAGG